TGGTAAAAATGAAGTAAATTAAAATTTTGCGTAATTAACAGATCTATCGTCATGGCCATAGAAATGTCCGTAGTTTTCCAAAACTTTATCCAAATGACCCATATATTAATGAGACTCATTGGCCTGGTGGATTTGAAGCACTCACAAATGTAAATACTTTTGATTGTACTTCACCAAATATGTTTTTAGTTAAAAAAAATTCGTTGACAGGAAGGTAAAAGACAACAATTCAAATTGGGGCAATATTTCCGAAGAAGATATCACAAACTTCTTGGTGATAAATATTCACCAAAAAGAGTGTACGTCCGTTCGACTGACAAAGATCGCACTTTGATGTCGGCACTTGCTAATTTAGCTGGCTTATTTCCACCACACGCTGAAGAGAAATGGAATGAAGACATTGCTTGGCAACCGATTCCAGTTCACACAATGCCCCTAAAATTGGACTATGTATTGCGTGCACCAGGTGATTGTCCAAGATATTCTGCCGCTCTCAAGAAATACAAAAATGAATCACCAGAAGTGTTGCGAATACTTAAAGAAAACAGAGAAAATATCTTATATTGGTCGAAAATGTGCGGATCGAATTTAAGCAACTTTGATGATATTAGCCGATTATATGTCGTACTTAATATGCAAAGGCATCATAATAAAACGTAAGCTGTGCAATAATGATTAATACTACACATTCAAATAACCATGTATATTCATTCAATTCATTTTGAAGACTTCCCGATTGGGTAATAAAAGCCATTGAACCAAATGGTGCTTTGGAGGCCTTTGCTCACATGTGGTTTACAACGTTGTCGAATACCAAAGAATTGGCTCGATTGATTTCTGGATTTTTGATTAAAGAAATGTTCGAACGTTTCGCTCAAAAAATAAACTCAACATTGGAGCCAAATCGTTCATTGTGGTTCTACTCAGCACATGAAACTGGGATGGGAGCCTTAATGAATAGCTTGGGAGTTTTCGAAGTAATTAAATTAAAAAAAAAAAAAAAGAAAAAAAAGATGAAAAATTTAATTTTGTTCCAAAATATTTGTTTGTCTACAGCCACATGTACCACCATTTGCATCGAGTGTGCATTTGGAATTATACAAAAATGGAGAACAAGAGCATTACATTCAAATTTTCTACAGAAAATCGGATGAAGAAGTCCTTCTGCCATTGAATATACCGAATTGTGGGGAAAAGTGTTCGCTGAATCAATTATACAAATTGTACAATGATATTATACCTGATCGTGATCATGACACTGAATGCCGCCTTCCCAAGTAGATACGACTGAAAATATTCGATGAAATTTTTTGATAAAATATTTCCAAATAAACCTATAATTATAATCGAATCCATAGATTAATGCTCCAGAATAAAAACAGAATAACATGATAAATATCTGTATAATATTCTGTTTTTATTTTGGGGCATCCGAATACCGTTTTGCTGAAAAACTATTTAAAAAAAATCAAATAACGAGCTTTAGTATAAGAGTTTATACATCTCTTGTTTAATCACGTCTCAATGCGCTCGCTGTTAAATAAAAAACATCTTAATTTTACGATTTTTATTTATTTGTTCAAAAGAGAGATACAATTCTACTGTTTTCCAGAATAAAATTGAGCCTTTATTGACTACCAAATGGTGCACTTCTTCGTTGGATTCATTTTAGCGTCTATCGGACAGTTAAAATCTTGTGCAAATTGTGGAATATTTGAAAGCACTCCATTTACACGAAATTTGTTTGGTGAATGTTCGTCAACCGTAATTATCCATTTGTTGTAGTTTTTAGTGGTTAATTCGCAATACGTTTGCCCGTATGATATCCAAAAAAGTTGCTTCTGATCATATGACAAAATGGGTAACAATTTTTCTGGCTTGTGATGTTGAGCCCAATTATTAAAATAGGCAAAATAAGCTGCTCTAACGCCACCATTGTCGGCAATATTCTCATCTAATGTATTTATACCATTTACCTGAGTGAGAGTGGGAACAAATGCGAATTATTAATAATGAACGAATACGATAAATAATCCACAATTAAATCTAACCGAATAATTCGATTCGACGTCTACGTATTTGCTATACTGTTCGATGATGCATTGTGCGGATTCGAGAAAAAGGGTTTTTGTCTTTGAATCCCACCAATCGACTAGATTGCCAGCGTAATCAAGTTGTCGTCCTTAAAAAGTTGAACGAAAAAAAAATTCATATTTCGCACATATTAGTCACACAATCTTTACCCAAATCATCAAAACTGTGCGTAATTTCATGTCCAATGATGCTTCCTAAGCACGCATAATTCATATAGTTTGGTGCATGCATCGAAAACAAAGGATCTTGTAGAGTTGCAGCTGGAAGGACTGTTTGATTTCTAATTTATAATTTTTTTTACAAAATACGCTTCCATTTTATACAAATTTACCAATACTATTATCATTTGGAATGTTGAATGCATTTACAGTGGTAATCTCCCATTCAATGGCGTCCGTTGACTCGCGCAATTTATCAAATCTGCGATCTGTGTTGAATATGTCCATACGCAAAATGTTCATGAACAAATTATCGGGTTCCAATTCGAGATCTTTATAATATTTGTCAAGTTTATTACTGTCGTGAAATTCAATGGGGTATCCGATATGAGCATCCATCAATTTTGCTTTTTTTATTGCTTCCCCTCGAGTTACATCATCCAGCCAAGTTGCATTGCGTAAAATATCAATAAATTCATTTCGAATAGATTTCACCATTTCGACGGTCGCTCGTCTTGTTTCTTCGCGAAAATATTTTCGAACATATAACGCACCCACTGCCCATTGAAAACTTAAAAAGAAAATAGTTGAAAAAATCATTTTTTTTTCTCAAAACATTCGATCATTTACTTGGTGGACGTTAAGTCAACGCATTCTCTCCAACGTTCACGACCTTAAATGATAAGAAAACTGTAAACATTAGATTTTTGAACATACATGGGCACAGGGGGTGTAAGTCAAGATTAGCCCCCTAAAATCGTTCGAGCTTCTTTCGAGAAATCTTTAAATTTGACAGGATTTTTCCTGACAAAAAATCTTTTGATTCGCTAGGGTTTTTTTGAATGGTCGCTGGACCCCTTAAATTTTTTCCGTGTCCATGTATGTTTTTGAAATTAATTAAACCGAATTCTTCAACTAGATGCGGACGTTATTTAAATAGTCTACAAGTAACATCGGTTATTAGCCAAATAACGTTATTCATTTAAATTTTCACGTAGTAGATATTGACAAAGCTATAAAAATGTACAATTTTGAAAAAAGAAAAAAAAAATCATTTTGCACCAAAATGACATTAAAACAAAAATAAAACGTTCGTCATCAAACTAAACGTATCTGTGCTCTAAAATTTTGGATCCCAGTAAAGAAAAGATCGCATACTCATTATAAGTCCCGCATTCCGTAATTTCGCTGTTAAAGCCTGAGAAGTGGATAATACAAAACGCCACAAAACATAATTGGCAATTGCTCGTTTTGATGTTGAATTCAGAATGTTTTCCAGTTTTTCAAAATATGTTGGCGCTGTATTGATAATTGTTTCGTTTTCGGTTACATTTATTCCATTTGGTAACATTAAATTAATGTACTCCAACCACGGGATGTACGGGTAGGATAATTGAAGTTCTTTGATTGTATACGGATTATATAATAACGTAATATTCCGAGCTTCTTCACGAGACATTTCAATCTGATAAACACGCAAAATTAATGTTCATAATTCAATCAAATAAATTGATTAAAAAATTCAATTCAAATAAATTGTAATCACCTTTGCCAACCTTATTTCAAATTCCAATGCTTCCTGTAGTTCTTCTTTGGCTTGAATTTCATTGGCTCCCAAAATAACAGCATTATCAACCATAATATTATAATAAAGTTCAACGTCCGGATCGGACATTCCTTCGATTAGAAATTCACGATGAAGATCATGGTCTGATTCGGTAATCTACAACATTCAAATATCAACACCTTTATTCTTTTTTTCGTCTGAAAAATGTTTTACACATTTTATACCTACATACAAAACATATTTTGACGAATTTTTCATGTCCGCAGCGACATCTAATCCAAAAATGTATCCAACTGTATTAATCCAATCGAAATCATCTTCTTTCCATGCATCACCTTTTACCACCGGCCAACCGCCATACGAATCTAAAATCTCAAACAATGGCTGCAGGCCACGTTCTTCAATCAACGTTTCATTCAAACATGATGAATAAAACTGTTTCACTAAGCGAAACGCTTTCGATTCATTTGGTGGCAATGGTTGATCGAAAATCTTACGTAATTGCAGTTGTACCAATTCTTCAACCTTTGAATATGCGTTAAATGCATTTTTACCATCTGGAATGGATGCATATTTGTGAAAATTCCCGCACGCAAACTCATAGAAATCGTCACAAGGATCAATATCTTCGTCGAGGTAACTGAATATATTGAAAGCTATTTTTAAGCAGCTAATACTTTCACACGTGCCGACCTTTTGTCGTTGTTCACCATTAATTGAGTCGAATGGTTTATGGGGTATTGTCCCGGATTTTATGCGTGGAAATGAAATTACAGCGAAAAAACATAGCACCAACAGTTTATTGTCTAACAAAATTTGACGCTGGAAAAAAGGTGATTGCCTGTTGAAAACAAAGTTCACAATATTAATGACAGGATTGGAAAATAATTTTGTTCACACTGCAGAACAGGCCGGTTTTTAATTTAACAGCTGTACGTAAAAACAATTCTATTAATATATATTGTAATTAGATCACATACTTTTTCATTTCGCACTTTTTTATAATGAAAAGTGTTAAATTGAGTTTTACGAAGTTACTTTATGATTTTTGTTTTATGGACTCTTATGTTCGACTTGCAATGAAAATTCTTTTTTTTTAACCGATGTGAAATTATATCTACCAAAACTGCCAATTTGACTGTATCGGTTCGATTTTTTCACGTTTGTTATATTTAAGTTGTTTATTCACTGCGACTATTTGTATAATATTCAATATTTTATTCATACTAAAAGATGTGCTACGAATGTATTGAATTGAATGGAGAAAAGAAACTAGTTCAAATCAGCGTCCACAATTACGACCATCTGATTTAAAACTAAATCAACATTTATTCAGTGTACTTTGATTATCTGTACAATAGTCATTGTCATATATTCAGAACATTATTTTTTAAATTGCATATCCAAAATCAATGAACCATGCTTTGAACATACTCATTTTTTGTTGGCACATTTCCTTTTCTATTATCATACGTATGACGATGTGTAGTTGCGTGTTATTTGAATCACAATTCGCAGCTCTCATGGCCAGAAAAACCGACTGACTTTTGCTCATTCTAATTTAAACAATGCCTACAAAACATTAGCGTGAATTGCTTTAATTTCACTCAATTTGCGTACTTTTGTCGACATTTAATTTTTCATTTTGTGTCATTTTTTTATATTGTTATAATAATATTTCATTGCACGCTTTATTTTTCTAATGCGATCGCATATTTTTTTGTTACAACTGTGATTATGGTTCGCAACAGAGCCGAAAGGCCAACATTTTATTTGTAAAATATATATGTCAAAATCAACTATCAAAAGCATCAACCAATTTTTCGCGAAATTATTTTAATGTTCTGTAACCAACAAATGAATAATAGTTCAGAATCTGTGCTTCAATATGAATTCAATAATTTTGCTTAGCGAATAGATCACTTGATTGAGATTTAATATAATGTCAACCATCAATAGAAATTTTCACAAATTTTCACTTCTTTTTGTTTTCGTGATGATCGTACGGTTATACATGACATCAATTGATGATAAAATATCAATTTACCTTAACTTCATAATGAGATGCTGCTAATAAAAATGATAAGCAAAATAGAACTCTGATCTGATACCAAATGCACCCAAACGATTTAAATTTAGGAAAATGTATTCTTGATAATTTCCGTAAGTTTGAAAAGAGTAAAATACTGATTGCTAGAATATTTTTAAAATTGCTGTCGTTATCGAGAACTCAAATCGATGTAGTCAAAATAATTTAGTTTGTCAGAAAAGGGTAATATAAACATTGAAGTGACGCATTCTATGGTGCGTTGTTTTTGTATTGATGACTCCGTTGTTTTTGTGTTGTAATGAAAGTGTTAAGGAATAAACAATAAAGATTTCGAACATGAATTTGAATGACTCAATTAATTAATGTAAATATTTATGTGCAGTTTGCAATTACTGCTCGGTGTATAATGTGCCAAAGAAAACAGTCGGTAACTTTTCGGTATCTTTTTGAAACACAATATGTCATTTCGAAGTTCTAAATTAAGTGTAAGTATCGTGTTTTATATCGAAGCAGGCAAGTTGATTAAAAATTCAAGAATCGCATCGGGAATACAAACGAGAATTTAACATCAAAATGCCGAAAGAAGTGATGGTATGGGTAACTTTATACCAATGCAAGGCATGTGGTGCTTTTTGGAGTAAAGAAAGCAATGCTCCTAGGAAGGAGGGTCTTTGCCCCAGATGCGGTAAAAAAACGCTCCAGAATGTCAGGTAAAACCTTTCCTTAATTCTAAAGCTATTAAATAGTATATACTGAAACAAATGGAAATCATTCTTTTGAATTAGATGACATCAGCATCAGTCTCACCAATGTTAAATTCAAAACTTTAAATTTTTTATGATGGACATATGCACGACTAAAATTCTCTTAAATAAAATTATAAATTTAAATTTGTGAACTCAAATTAATGGTGCAGTCTTTATTTTATTGAACTACTTTATTTATTTTTCATTGCCTAAACAAAACAACAGAATCAAATGACTTTGTTTCTGCTCAAAATATACGCAGGAATTTTTTAGTGAGTAAAATGGGAAGAAAAAAGGTAAAATTTTAAAGCATTTTATAGGCTTTATAGACTTGCAGCTTCTTTACTCTGTATATAGTTTCTATAAAAATATGGAAGAATGAAAACGAGTTGCTAATTGATGTTTTCGTACGATTAAATTAAAAATGTGCTTATTGGTTACAATAATCCAACATTTTCATGAAATTTAAACAGGTGTTTTGTAAACCCAATTGACGTAATTTTGTAAAGTTTGCCAAGAAACCATAATTTCTTATTGTTAAAATGAAAAATTTAATAAAACTGTTTATTTTTCATCTTATTTCTATTTATTTTTGATCTATTGGAATTTTGTGAATACATTGTTATAAATTCATATAAAAAACGCCTTCATTCGCTACTAAGTCACAGTACGACCGCGATTCTTTTGAAGAAGAATACTTCATCAATTTAAGTTACAATGATCACAATAATTTGCGTAATTCTTTTCAGCTTTGGAACTATCTTCGTTGATTGTGGTGAGAAGAGTACATTTAAAATTACATTTCCGAATGTTTTTTTTTTTTAAATCATTTTTCATTTTTCTTTTCCACAATAGATACGAAGTTTATTGAGCTAGATGAATTAAATTACTTTGGAGAACCCATTTCATTTGCATGCGTACATAGCTCAAAGTAAATAATTAAACTCTTAAACGGAAAATTTACTCATTATCTATAATGCGATTTAATAAGAAATTTTTCATTTTCAGTCAAGATGACTTTCTTGTTGCAAAAAGCAACAATGAAGAATCGGTGCGTGAACTAATTGGATTTTTAGATAATAGAAAAGGACTTTCACTGTATTTCCCTGGAATAACATCTACATTAGTAGCAAAAGGTGAAATAAAGAAATACACTACAAATGAAATTTCAAATGCAAAAATCAAGAAAACCCAATTATATAATACAAATACTTTTTTGTTTCCGTTCCTAGATTTTCAAAATGCAAAAGGTGATTTTTTCGCGCATATTGCTGTCTATGTATTTTTTGATTGATTTTTAAAAAATATTTTGGTAATTTTCTTTTTTTTTCTTTGACCTATCTCTAGAATGGTTCATAGCATCAAATACAAACATTTGCTACATTACATATACATATTCGGGTCAAACTTCAAAAAGTTCCACTTCTTCGCTCATGAAGAAGATGATAAATACACATCGAGTAGAATTTGTTGTCAAAGAAACGCGAGATTTTTTAGTAAAGCTCAAAAAAGACTGTTCGCGAAAAGGTTCCGTGCACACTATTTTACAATTGGCTAAAGTTACAGTGGTTGGTCTTCATTTCGGATCGCATATTGCAAGTCTCGTTTCTCTTTTCTTGCAAAAGAAATATAGTGAAATGAGTTTAAGATTAATAGGTACTTGAAAAATGCATTTATTCATTAATTATTCAAATATTAATCATTTAATCAGTTCTAGACCCAGTCAAAACATCGTCATACCTCGACTACGGCACTACCCTTAGTGGCATTCGTGCAAGTTTCGCACAAGGTATATTTACTTCTAAAAATTCTTCAGAAGATACCACGGGATACATCGACATATACATAGAGAATAAATGTTCCTCGCGCATTAAATCTGATGATTTAATTCTTGCCATTCACACGGCCATTTGTCAGAAGGATATCATTGCAATAGCTGCATTCAATGGAACCAGTTCAATAAATATGAACTCTCCTAGCAATCCGGTTGTTCCGTCTGAAAATGAGGTTTTAATTGGCGTATATGGTAGACATAGTAGTGATTACTGTAACAAGAAATTTACATTAACTGTTACATGCAATGCTTACGAAACTTTGAGACAATCACTTCAAATACATAGTTAGTATTTAGTTAGTAAGGCAATGTTTACAATCAAAATATTTTATATCTCTCATTTCATTTCTTTAAATCAGCAAGTTCAAATAGTGCGGCGAACGATCCAAACTCTAGTCTAAAATACAAGGTTGATCCGATAATATTTAAATGCATTCATAGCACAAGGTAAATACTATGGTTATTTTGTTGATTGAATGATTTGTGCTATTTCAATTATTTATTATTTTTTTGCAGTCAACAACATTTTGATCAAGCAAGAAGTGACGATATATTAGCGAAACACGAGTTGATCGGAAGTTTGAATAATGGAAGAGGTCTTTCGCTTTATTTCCCCGAAGTATCATCTACTGTGGACGCAACAGGTATAGACATTTCTTTTGCATCAAAGTTGAATTGATGAAAAAATATGATTTTCATTTTAGGGGCCGATTTCAAAAACGCAAAGGGTGAATTTCTTTTATTTTCATAGAAATATGGTTCCAACATAAACTAAATACAATGGTCTTTCTCTAGGATGGTTCGAAGCATCTGATACAAACATTTGCTACATTCAGTATGCGTTACCCCAGTCACCGTCTCGTGTGAAGAAAGTTGTAAACGCAATGTCGAAAACATCCTCATCGTCTATGGACACGAGCCGAGTTGATTTCGTTGCCAATGAAGTGGAAGATTTTGTAACGAAGATCAGAAAGGATTGTTTCAATAATGGAGATGTTGGGTCATTTAAATCTTTGGCGCAACTTACAATAGTCGGAATTAATTTCGGTGCGAATATTGGAAGTCTTGTCTGTAGATACTTGGCAGTAAAGAATGGAGAAAGCGTTGAGAAACTAATAGGTAATGAAAGATTTCAGTTAAATTTGTTCTGAATAATGCATGAGTGATATTTAAATCAGGTATGAATCCACATCTCGATAAAAGGGTTGCGTTCAACAAGGAAATTGCAAAGTATGCACAGGTTATCTGTACTGCCATACCTCCAGGGAGTTTAGGAGATGGTTATGTATATATAAAAAATGAGTGCGGACCAAAAATCAAATCGGAAGATTTGATGGTTGATATTCATGCAGCCACCAGTGAAAAGCGGCTGGTCGCAATTGCAACGCATAATGGAAAAGGTTCTTTGCATAATGGTACAGCTATCCCAAAATCAAATGAGATCTTAGTTGGTGTATACAGCGATTTGCATGCGCGCCCTACTGGGACAGCATATATATTAGCTATTACACCAGATAAATTGAAAACATTGAAGAGAGCATTGGCCAATTAATCAATACAAAGTATATTTCAAATTTATATCACACCAGGGCGTGTACAAATATTAATAAAAATATTACGTTCAACGGAACATTCAAAAGATATTTAAGTGTTTTTTTTTTATTTTGATATGTATTTTAAAAGTCGAGCATCTATTTAGTCGAGTTTTTGCAATTAGACAGAAAGCTAATGTTAAAAAGCAGACATTATATTGAGTTATTTTTAGGCAAATGATTCAGCTCAGGGGGCTAATGTCAGGCGCTGAAATGGAATGAAAACAACAGAAGTGATGTTATAGTTATTGTGGTAATGTAAGTTTTTCATAATCACAATGATAACTCTATTGTTTTCTCTCCATTTTAGCGCATGATATTAGCTCTCTGAGTCTGTCAAAAAGTTTAATTGATTATCCTGAAAAATAAGCACAACCTTTAAACTATGTTTTTGAACAGACGATTTTTTTTTGTCTGAATTAGCGCCTGGGCTGAGATATTATAAGAAATTAGCTGTAGCGCCACGATGGAATTCAGTGTAATCTATATCAAATAAAAAACCTCTATCAAGGTGAAGAACGAGTGACGAAACCAAAATTTGAAACACAAAATTTCTGATATCAATTTCGTGACGAAAATAGTTGGTAGATATATTTTCTGTGAACTGTAAATATAAACTTAATATACATCTGCATTGCTAGAATATTTACATTGACCACAACTGTTCATAATAATGAATATTGGTGTGAAATGTTTTTAATTTAAAATAAAATTATTATAATATACCGAATTGTATTATAATATATAAAAAGTGTTCTCTGGATCAATTGTACAAATTGTATAATGATATTATACCTGATCGTGACCATGACACTGAATGCCGAATTTCTAACTAGATACGGATGAAAGTGTTCAGAGAATTTCGAATTGTATTTGTAATAAATCAACCAATTCGTAAATGATTTAAACTTTATTGGGCTTCAATTTCAATTGCAAACATTTGAAAATAGATTGAAACTTTTGTTAACAGCCAATTAATAACCATTATCATTACCGAGACATGTCAGGCGTTATTTGTAAAATATCTATCCATTTACAATACTCTCTCAATATATGAACTCATTCATTCGTATGAATTTCGTGTAAAAAGATAAGATTTCGATTGAAATTTTTTGTCATACAAAGCTAATACATCATATACACCTCTTGAATAGATCAATATCAAGTGGATTAATAAATTTTAAGGATAGTTTACGTAATGTGAGTGTATATATTATTTAATACAATATTCGTTCGCTGTAGTAGGTCGAAAACATTCGATCAGAGAAAAGGTCGATTTATTTTTAGCCATGTTGTCTTTTCAAGTAGTTGGTTTTGTTTTTTTGTTATTCTGTGTCTGCGATGTATTTTCGCATGGCAATGATAGTGGTTTAGAAGAAGAAAGTGCTCTTGGGCCTTCAAATGATAGCCAATTGATATTTGCGCATGTTGTAAGAACGAAAAAATAAATAATTTTTTGATGAAAATGAAGTAAATTAAAAGTTTGTGTAATTAACAGATCTATCGTCATGGTCATCGAAATACCATCAGTTATCCAGGACTGTATCCAAATGACCCATATATTAATGAAACTCATTGGCCTGGTGGATTTGGAGAGCTCACAAATGTAACTACTTTTGATTGTACATCAACAAAAATGTTTTTAGTTAAAAACTTTCGTTGACAGGAAGGTAAAAGACAACATTTCAAATTGGGACAATATTTCCGAAGAAGATATTACAAACTTCTTGGCGATAAATATTCATCGAAAAAGGTGTACGTGCGTTCGTCTAACACGGATCGTACTTTGATGTCGGCACTTGCCAATTTAGCTGGCCTATTTCCACCACACGCTGAAGAGAAATGGAATGAAGACATTGCATGGCAACCGATTCCAGTTCACACAATGCCTTTGAATTTGGACTATGCGTTGCGTGGGGCAGAGGATTGTCCAAGATATTCTGCAGCTCTCGAGAAATTCAAAAATGAATCACCAGAATTGAAACGGCTTCTTAAAGAAAATAAAGAAAATATCTTGTACTGGTCGAAAATGTGCGGATCGAATTTAACCACCATTGAAGAGATTACCCAGTTATATGGGATACTCATTGTTCAAAAAGAACATAATAAAACGTAAGTAATGAACAATGGCTAGTACCACAAATTCAAATCACATGTTCATTAATTCAATCCATTTTGAAGACTTCCTGATTGGGCACGAAAAGCAATCGAATCAAATGGTGCTTTGGAGTCCATTGCGTTTTTTAAATATCAAATGAAAACGAGTACTAAAGAGTTGGCTCGACTGTGGTCAGGATTTTTGATTAAAGAAATGTTTGAACGTTTCGCGCAAAAGATAAACTCAACGTTGGAGCCAAATCGTTCACTGTGGATCTATTCTGCTCACGATTCGACAATTATTAGTCTTTTGAACAGCCTTGGAGTTGTTGAGGTAATTAAATCCATTAAAATTTGACATGATCATCTATCTTTGAATTCTTTGATAAGAGTAATAGATAAATATATGAACTACTTTTGTTCACAGCCACATAAACCACCATTTGCATCGAGTGTACATTTGGAATTATACAAAGTTGGCGAAAAAGAGCACTACATTCAAATCTTCTACAGAAAATCGGGTGAAGAAATCCTTCTGCCATTGAATATACCGAATTGTGGGGAAAGGTGTTCTCTGGATCAATTGTTTAAATTGTATTATGATATTATACCTATTCGTGATCATGACACTGAATGCCGTCTTCCCAAGTAGATACGGCTGAAAATGTTCAGTGAATTTTAAATGCATACCTTTGTTGAGCGTGAAATCGACTAATCGAAAAGCCTAGCGAAAAGCATATATATCAAATTTAGTTCCAATTAATGATAAAGTTCAGTACATACTCAATATGTGTATTCATTTATTCGAATAAATTTTCAGTAAAGAGATAAGATTTCGATTGTAATTTTTTGTCATATAAAGCTTATTTCTATATAGTTCCATCTACACATCTTGACGCAATGTCAAGTGGATTGATATAAGGTAGTTTATGTAATGTGAGTCATTGTTGATATGCAATTACACAAAAAAACTCTAAAAAATTGTATATATCATTAAATACAATATTCGTTCGGCTCTAGTTGGTCAGAAATTATCGATCAGAGCAAAAGTGGTTCAATTCTAAACATGTTGTCTTTTTTTGTAGTTAGTTTTGTATTTCTGTTATTATGTGTTTCCAATGTGTTTTCGCACGACGACGGAAATGATTTAGAAGATAAAAGTACTATCTGGCCTTCAAATGATAGCCAATTGATATTTGCGCATGTTGTAAGAACG